TTGTTTTGGATCTCATGCTCTTAAATGCGTCTAAAATTAAAAGTTGAATGTTTTGTAGAACCTAATTTAATTTGGCATGAATATGTCTCCTTTCTAACATTTTGTGTTCATAAATGTTTTTAGTTCATCTGAAAAAAGAGCACAAAGAGAGTTTACAGCGTTCTGTGTAAAAGTTGAGCAGTTTTTCTGTAGCCTTGTATCAGTGTGAACAACTACGACCCTGCTTACTTTGGCAGTGGCACCAAACTGACTGTACTGGGTAAGAAAATGATAAAAATTATCCACATTACTGTTTGTTCTGTGCTCTTCTCTGAGCTTAAATCTGAGAATTATTGTTGAGTTAAGTTAAGGGTTGTAAAAAAAAAAAATATATATTTTTTCTTTGTTTAGTGATTTCCTGGAGCAGCAATGTTGTTGCTGTGTAGGTTTGTAGTCAGTACTCCAAAATAAAATGTATGAATTTAGATAAATCTCTCTGTTCTATGGTACAAAAGGGCTGTTTGGTGTCTGACTTGATATAACTTAAAATAGGCATTCAGAGGATGTCTGTGATAACATTTTTAGTTCAGTTAAACAGACTAGTAATTTCTTTCCTTGTACAAAATGAAGCAAAAAAAGGCAATCTAAATTACATTAATGAGTCTAAAGGTGGGAGGCATGTAATATGGTTATTGTAGTTTATATCTACCTGTTTGTGAAAAAAACTGACAAATGCAACGAACAAATAAATTAGACATTAATCCAGCCGTTGGAGATCTTTGTCAGTTTTATACATGTGAGGCAGTGGTGTGCTCAGACAGTTATCCTGCTGAATTTGGAGAGGGAACCAGGCTAACAGTCGTTGGTAAGATCACTAAACATTTATCTGAAGAAAGTGAATCTGAATGACTCTTAGTGTGAGATGTGCAGCCTGTAATGATCATGTTTAAATTGCAATATTCAGTGTGAAAAAGTTCTGCTGTGTCTTTTTGTAACCTGATGTACATGTTTTGTTCTGTATTAAGATGTCCCATGTGCATCATTAGAGTTAGATATTGATCATTGGTTTGCTGTAGATTTATGTCCTTTGTCCTTGCAGAAGTTGACAAAGACATTACTGGACCAACAGTGAAAGTGCTTCAACCTTCGCCAAAGGAGTGCAAAAATAAAAAAGACAAAATAAGGAAGAAGACCTTGGTTTGTGTGGCCACTGAATTCTACCCAGACCATGTCAGCGTATACTGGCAGATCAGTGGGGAAAATATCACTGACGGTGTGGCGACGGACGAGGCTGCCCAGTGGATCCCGGGAGAGAAGTTTTACCAAATTACCAGCAGGTTGAGGGTTCCTGCCGAAGAATGGGAAAACTCAGATAATAAATTCCAATGCATTGTCAATTTCTTCAATGGAAGTGCTACTGTCCCTTACTCAGATTCAATTTATGGTGAAGGTATGTCAATTTGGAACTCAGAAATAATATAAACCAGATTTTTTTCCTATTGGAAATACATGTAACTGATCTTCTGTCCTTGTCTAATCCATTTCTCAGCTTCGACAACAGCAAATAAAATGACAAGAGGTAAATAGATTATTTTGTAGTTTTGTACACCTTGACGCTTTAATTCTAATAATACAGCCTAAGAAATGCACTCATGGTAGTATCTATGAGGCTATATGTATAAACCAAGAGTAGCTGCATGTTTAAACTGTCACTCATCTGAATGTTTGAACTCTCTGCAGAGAAATATTTGAAGATCACACAGACTGCCAAACTCACATACGGTGTTTTCATCGCCAAGAGCTGCATCTACGGGGCCTTTGTACTGTTTCTGGTGTGGAAGCTTCAGGTTTGTTTTACGCAATGTAGCATTTGACATAAAAACAGGTTCTATACACTTAATATATACACATAAATGAACATCACATAAGACACTGTATCCTTTCTGTCTGCTGCAGGGCTCAAAGGGAAAGCAGAAGTACTGAGAGCTGAGGCCAAATCAGTTCTAGGAGATCTAGAAGAAGATGTTGGTTTCTGTAAATAAAGGTTGAAAACGTTTCACAACTTTGTATATTGCAGTGCATTTGCATTTATTACTCAATTACATAATCAAATTCTGCTAAAATAGATGAACAGTTCTATACATATTAGTTTTTTAATCTTAAAGCTGCTTTGGCATCACATTTGATGAATACTTAGAATAATAATCCTGTGTTTCTAAGGCACTTTTTTGCTTAATATTCATCTAAATAAAAACTTTTCAGAGGATGCCATCAATTGTGTGCTTCATTTCTCTATATAGGTTTGTCCTGATTGACTTACTGAGTTTTTTTATGATTCTCCAGACAGTAAAACTTTATTCTTACATTCAGTGTGTATCTAAACCAGCAAAAGGGCATGGGTTAATCTTATCACAGTTCATATCATAATGGGGCATTTAAAAAAAGAATTAGACCGGTAAATTACATTAGTCAGTTGCTCTAAACTGTTGCCAACAGTACTGATAACGTATATGCAGTAACATCTTCCATGAGGTATTTTTAGCTGCTCGCTTATCTGCCGGTTTTCTGAGAAAAGCAGCTATTTTTCACCCACATACAGTATGTTAAGACATCTCAGCTCAGAAAACCTTCACAAGCAGGTTCATTTGGGTCTTAACAAGTTTTTCCAATGAGCAAACTGAGAGGTGACTAAAGTGTTTTCAGTAATGTTTGATGGATAAATTAATTTCCATCGACTAATAACTAAAACTGTATTTTAACATTAAAATAACTTTTGAAGAACTCATTTGACCTTATTAACTTGGGTTTGTCATATCTATTTTTTCCACTTTGCACAAATGAACAAATGAAAGCGTCTTATTACATTTTCTTTTAAATAAAGAAGTTATTCCTTTAGTAAATCTGCCACATAACAACAGGAAATCAACGTTCTCATCTGTGTACAGAAGAAGGTCAAAGCTGTTGTTGGTGAGGGAAACAAACCGGGGCTTGAAACCGTGCAGAGGAGTAGAAAGCGACAGCAGAGGAGAGGATGTGGTCACAGAGCAGCCTGCAGATCGTTCTCTTTGCTCAGAAATGACGAAGGTGCAACCTTCCACTTTACCACAACCTCCGGCTCACACCTGCATCTCTGCACCAACCCCCCCACACTGCACATCTCTGAGCAAACAGCTGGGAAAAAAAACTTCCATTTCTGTGTCAACTGAAGCTACACAATGAACATAAGTGTGTGTTATATTGCATACAACAGCTGTTTACCATGATCTGGTGCAGACATTTGCATTAGAATTGCAATTTTTTTAGGTATTGCATGAGAATGGTAACTTTGTGCAGTCACAGAGATTAAAACACTATTGGGGAGACTTAAGAAACTATAAATAATTAATTTAAAAAGTCTGTGCAGGAGTTATATTTAACTGTAGTCCCGTCATTTTTATGTGAACAAGATATTGAACTGACTATATCTGAATCTTGGTCATTTACTTTTTTACTATTGCTGCTGTACAAACACTCCCTCATCTAAAGATGTGTAAGAAGAATATAAGTCCTGCATTCAACATTTTACTCAAGTAAAAGTACAAAAGCATCCAAATATACTTGAATTACCCAAATTAAAAGTACTCATACATTATATCACTTGATTATAATTAATGATGCAACGTCTTCATCACTTACTAATGTTGCAGCTGGTTGAGGTGGAGCCAATTTTAACTTTTTAATACACTGCTACCTTGAATTCCCCTTGTGTTATTTATAATAATACATATTTTATGATTGTATATTGTTTTTTTAATCTGAATCTGCAAAGTAACTAATATTGTAAAATAAATGTTATAGAGTAAATAATACAATATTTGAGTAGAAGTATAAAGTAGCAGAGAATGGAAATACTCAACAAAAGGATGTACCTCAAAATTAAACTTACACTACACTACACACTACTAGTGTAAATGACCTCAGTTACTTTCTTCCTTCACCAGTTATCAAAATAAAAATATATTTTTTACCAGTAAAGTCCCCAGTGGGATTTAAAACTGATTAAGAGCACGTTCTTACTTTCTGCATTTGTTTCCTTTATAAACATGTTTGTGCTCACTGGAGTCACATAAACAGGAAACAATGTCTGTGAGACCACAACATGAACAGTGTGTGTTTGACATCTGTGAACTATATTTATATCTCCTCCTGCAAACCCTGATGTTTGGATAGAAGAGTGAATTTAACACTCTCTTTAAGCTCATGTGGTTATTGAAAACTCCCAGACGAGCCAGTATTTGTGCCAAACTTAGCCCGTAGTAACCTCAATTAAGAAACACCTCCACCATCCGTGCTAACAGGACTATGTGGAGTACGAAATAGTACAAATTATTTATGACAAACCATATTGTTAGTAACAGTAAGTCAGTCCGTATGCACAACACCCCGAGCCTAAAGACGAAACACCCTAAAATATATCAACCATCGTTCATTTTATTATTTACACCTGTGTTTTTCCTACTGTGACTAAAGAGAACTGCCACATAATGGCCTGATGTCTCCGATACAGATCAGATTAGTCTAATCATCGTGATAAATAGTTAATTTATTGAGAACACTAACCACTGAGTTCCTCTGATTCTTAACTGATGAGAAGTTTTTCCAATAAAGCCTCAAATTTCACCTTAAACCCATCATTCATTACATGAAAAGAACATATGAATCAGGTTTATGAGTATGTGCACACATACACGGAATTTGACTTTAAATTGCTCTCAATGTACTTACACAGACAAAGACACACAGTCTGTTTTATCCCCTTTTTCTATTTATGCATTTTAATCCTTTTTGTTTGTATTACTCTGTTTACTTTGTGTATGTATTCATTTATACATCTTGATCTGTTTTATGTGTTATATCCTTTTCTTACTACTCTAATTCTGCCTCCAGTGTTTCCTCACTGCCTCTTGATGAGATAATTGTTTTAATGTAGTGTTTTATCGTTCACAATAATGCATGTGTGCATGGGGGGTGTTTGTGTGTGGTTGACTGATTGGTTTATTGATTGACTGATTATGTACATACAAATTGGTGAAAAAAAAGCTGTATAAATAAATATCTGTAAAAAGCAACAATGACCAACAACATACAATGCCTATTTACAAGTGAAACTGTTTCTGTAAATTGTAAAGAATACAAAAGCATACTTTATATACATTCAGTAGTTTCTTATGTACAATAAATGCATGTATAAATGTCTATACACAGCGTCTGATCTAAGTTTGACAGTGATAATGTTGATATGTATGTGTTAAAAAACTAAAATATAATTTATAATCTTAGTGCTACAGGCTTATTTCATGGTGATTGTTTGTTTGTTTTCTGACACTACATGCAGTGGTGCCTGGAGAAGTGTATACTTTTATACTTTTTGAAGCAACATGTTAAAAGAGTAAATGATGATTATGACATTAATATTTGACACAGAAGAAGTGACCTCTTGTGGTACAAACTGGAACAGCGAGTCATGCAGGATTCACTCATTCAAACTACAAGGAGCTTTTTATCAAAATATTGTTTTTATTTCAAAATAATTACATAAAAATAAACAATGCAAAGAGAAAATACAACCCTTTATCAGTGAAATGCCAATATATAGATTAAAAAAGAGCAGTGGTCAAAACAGCACAGCAGAGATGGTAATAATTTCACATGTGAAAGGTTTACTGGATTTAAAAACCTCAAAGTAAATCCATCATAATTCTCTAGAAAACAGAGAACACGTACAGTAGGTCCAGTGACTAAATAACTTATGTTAAAGACGTGGCGGAGTTTGACTTTATCACATTCAGGCTTTACAGGTTTACATGGTACGTTTCGTTTTGAGGCTCCTATTTAATGTTTCCATAATTCAGTGTTTAATGCAGCAGTGTACAAATAGACTCCCTGAACAAAGTGTTCATACTCTGCAAACTCCTGGTTCACAGATTTAACTACAGCTACAGCAATCGGTCCCTTTTTCATGGAGTTCTTGAATGGTGATTCTGCAGTCGGGTTCAGATATGAATGTCCTTTTGGCAATTGCAGAAGTTGGAAGGTTAAAAACAACTTCAATGTCTCAAACACTCCCCTCTCCGCTCTTCCCTCTCCTACCCCATCCCAGAGTTTTTAAACCCTCTGTGGCTTCAGCCTAGCCGACCAAACCTGTCGTTCCTCTGTGAATGCCGGGTACAGCTGGCACAGCAGAAACTGGAGTAGTACGAGTTTGAGCAGAGTCGGGCGTAAACGATCAGCTCACAGTTGGCAAGATCGGGCTGGTCCACGCATTCTGGCGGCAAATCAACACCTGCAACAGCGGGGTTGAAAGACAGTCCCATTTAGTGTTTTTGTGCCTCATAAAATCAGTTCAGCACACAGAACATTGTGTGGTGTTCTTCAAGTGAATCACAATGGCAGTTTAGAGTTGTTTGTTCACCTGCACGGCACAGGTTAAGTTTTTATTTTGTTGTATTGCCTGAAAATGATTTATTTTTTGTTCCAACATCTGTGAAAACATCATGCTGCCGATTTTTCTTCTGTGATTTAAATTGTAGCAGTCAGAATAATGAAGTAAAACACAATGGCAAATTCAGTCTGATTATCAGACCTCTGCCTTATTTAGTCCCAATTATTGGTTCCAAAATTAGTGCTGCTGATATCAAAATCAAACTTTAAACTGTTTTTCTCTTTTCTGATAAAAACATCAGGACGGCTGAGTTAGACTGTTATTCTCACCTTGTTGTGTGTCTTTAGTGACTCTAACTTCAGCCGTGGCACTCACAGAGTAGATGCCGGTGTAAGCGTTACAGGTGTAAGTGCCCTCATCTGAAGGCTTCACATTATTCAGGATCAGGCTGCCGTCAGAAGACGCCAGAATGTTACGACCGTCTGGACGCACCGGTACACCATTCCTGTAGTAAAAGAGGAGAAAGTGAAAGCCAGTTAAGGCCCCGTGAGCTGGTGTTTGATGGATGCTTTGAATTCTCAACTAGAAATATTAAATAATATTAACATGTGCACAAAAATCAGTCAAATGTTAAACTCAACTGATGAAAAACAACTTCTACCTCATTAAAGTCATATTTCTATTTGTAAAACAACAGCCTAGTGGTTGTTTATATCTTATAATGTAATTATAAAACATTTTCTTTTTGAGTAACTCCACAGAAGACTATATCATTTTAGCTTTTCCTATCTAATCGTATTTATCAGTTATGAATTTTGTGATCATGTAAATGTTTACGAAGATAAAAGACAAAGAGATAGATTAACTTCCCATTTACTTTTTTATTTGGACACCTGAATAAAACCCCTTTAACTATAGCTGCTGTATCTATACCAGACTCTGTACTGTAGGTGCAGTTCCTCGCTGGGCTGATTATTCTTGGGTGATAAAAATCAAGCATCAATTTATCATCAAGTCTACTTGGATAAACACTTGAGCTTTATAATGTAGATCATTACCTGGACCAGCCTATATTGACATTGTCTCCTGACACCACACAGGGCAGCAGAGCAGTGCTGCCTTCAGACACCTGGATGTTATTGGGAGCTGTGGTGATCTTCAGGTCCGCTGGACAATAAAACGAGAGAAAAGGTGGTTTATTTCACCCTAAAAATACTTAAACCCTCATAAACTCACACTGAATTATTCTGAATATACCCCGGAGGAATCAAACCTCAAACACTACACTCAGATATATTGACCTCTGCTGGTGATTTAGTGAAATTACAGCACATCTGTTGCAATTATAATGAACACACAGTACTAACGATTATGTTAACATCTGCATGTTCTGTGTTTAGTGTGATGGCGAAGACATGATTACAACTCACTTTGGACTCTGAGCTGCAGCTGTTTCTGCTCCAGCTGCTGCTGAGTGGAGGCTGTGCATGTGTAAACACCAGAGTCCGTAGACTTCAGAGGACCGATGATCAGCGTGCCGTCTGAATGTTTGATATACCTGCATATCGTGAATACTGAATTACTGAATGATTGAAATAGCTGGAATGCTGAATACTGAATGATGAATGACTGAAACTGGAATAGCTGAATTACGGTGCGGTGTTGCAGGTATTATCAAACATT